AGCGAAAGTGATGACGCCACCGAGCTAGCAGTCTCCACCTACAAGCGCAAGTTACACTCGGATGAACTAAATACACAAGCATGACGTACTCCAGAGGTTCCATTAGTAGCGGTTTGTATAGAGGAAACCGCATGAGTAGTTGTAGCTGCAGCCGCTGCCGCAGCTTCTTTTTCCACATCTGCTAATGTCATACCGGGAGTAAGAGTGACGTCCTTTGCATCTTTTTCTCTGGGAGTGATGAGATCCGGTGACAGCAAGTTGTGTGCATCGAGTCCTTCCAACGGCGGTATCTTGAACATTTCAAATATGACAAAAAGGATAGATACTTCCATAAATGTAATTCAGACGGTGAGGATGGAAAAGATAAAAACAGATGATGCGTATATTCCTTACCACAGGTTCCGGCATTTCACTTCCAAGAGAGCTGACAGTGTAAACTGAAATTTCGTCCTCAACTCCGCCTGATACCGAGGAGGTCATGGAGATGGCATCCAGCAATTTTGCATCCAACTGACTCTCCGAACTAAACAAAATAATACTTAGAACAATCAAGACAAATCTAATCTGGTCTATTTCGTACCGCGTCCTTCTCAAGTCAGTGCTTGCCTGGCTCACTAGCACTTGTGGCACTCTATCACTTTCCGTCCTCAGTACAGATGCTACTACAGGTCGCTCAAAGGTAGTGTCTAAAGGATCATGTCGAGGGATATATAAAGAGTTGCAATGGTTCCCTAAAGTGTCATTCGGTATTTACTGAATTGCTTGCAACAATAACCCTGCAGAAGCCTAATCTGATGAGGAAAGAGGACAGCTATGGAACTTTGAGAATAGGATTAATTAGCCCTCTCTCTAAAATGCTTGCACACTTTCTCTCACTGATATTTTGTATAATCAACGTTCCCTGCTGAATTTTTTATGGACCTGCCACATTTACCTCTTTTGCATCTTCAAAGACACACACAAGAGTTGATCCAAGTGATCCATTTCGCTATTGGTCGAACCAATGAACTGACAAATAACGAAGCGGGAGTCCACTAGATCCACTTCGCTATTGGTCAGTTCACTGACTTGACCAGTGGCGAAGTGGA